TCTCTCTCTCTCTCTCTCTCTCTCTCTCTCTCTCTCTCTCTCTCTCTCTCTCTCTCTCTCTCACACACACACACACACACACACACACACACACCACACACCACACACCACACACCACACACACCACACACCACACACCACACACACACACACAAATGTTTCTATTTATTAAACCTTGTTTCACAAGAACCACTGATACTGAAAACAGTTCTTGGAACAAACTAAACTGAAAATAAATGTGACTAACTTCAATATAATAAGAAAAAATTATTATCAAGAAGGAAAATAGCTATTCAATATTTTATTGCAGGCATCCTCAACCCCGTTCCATGGACCGGTACTTGTCCGTGGCCTGTTAGAAACCAGGCCACACAGCTGGAGGTGAGCAGTAGGTGAGTGAACAAAAGTAAAACCATCCCTCTCAGTCTGTGGAAAAATTGTCTTCAATGAAACCGGTCCCTGGTGCCGAGAAGGTTGAGGTGGTATAACTGCTGATTTGATGTACCATGAAGAGTGGAAGTTGAAGAAGATACCTTCCAAGGGGTTCCAAGATGACAAACAACAACCCAACACTCATATAGATCAGATCTGCTCATAATCTTTCTATCAAGGTATCACACCCTTTCTATTTATATTAACTTTTGAATGCTCACATGACACAAAACATATGCTTTGTTATATGCCTCTTAATTCCTAGGGCAGGCAAGTCTCACTGCCTCTTTATATTGTACAAACTGAAGACCAATATTCAAGGATATCTAACTTTAGATAACGGTTCAGGACAGTGGTCTGAACCTATTTATTACCTGTAGGAAGTTTTTGCTGAAATTTCAGTCAAATTCTTCTAGGAAGAAGAATTATGATCCATCTTCCTTCATCCATAAATCACATCTTACTTAATTTCCATATTTTCTAAATCCATTAAAGTAGTCAAGATGTTCCTACCTTTTACAGTTGGGTTGCTCTTCTACCACCTCCCTTCTCTTGTAATCAGAGTATTTCTAGACAAAACGCTGTACATTACATTAAAGTGTCCTGTTGGTTAATTCTTTTACTATGGCAGATTTTGGACTTCTCCACCAAAAGTGACAAGAAAAGCGTCTCCGCCTTTAATTCTTTCAAAAAGAGATCTTCTGGAGTTGATTGCCCTCTGTTCAAGCAAAGATCTCCAGAAAACAAACTGCAGGGGCAGCCCCCTTTTCAGTCATGTGCTTATCCTTGGCACTTGTAGAGGCAACTCCCAGCTACATCGCTGAATGACCAATGTATTCTTGGAAAATTGAAGATAAACAAACCCACACAAGTCTTTTCCTTGAAATGTTCACCTTGTAGAACAGATTTCCTTGTCCTATTCACCATAATATATGTAGATATTCATATGCCCTTTCTTAGTCCTCATCATATTTCTGAAATTTGACACTGAAAAGCCATACTGAATGACTTTGAAGGACTTTATGAATGATGAAAGACTTTAATGACCTTTCTTCAGATTTACATTTACAATATGTACATTCATTAATATCCCCATCCCCTTAACAAAAAACTTTGACATTATCAATCCTTCATATCTAGGATCTGCCTTTTGGCTTCATAGCTTGGGTGGGTTTTAGCCAGTACGTACTGATACACCCCCGTTCATGAAATTTAGTGTGTCTTCCCATACCCATTCTTCCAGACGCCCCATATCGGAATGCTCCCTCCCCTGGCCTGCCCCCTTGCTCACTTCCCCTGCCCGCCCAGTCGCCACTTGCTCGCTCACCCCACCTGAACGCACTAGGCTTGCCCTGCCCAACCACTTCCTTTGCCGGAGCGGACGATTGGGAGAAGGCCACATGGCACGCGCTCCTTCTCTTTGACAGCCGCCTGGTTTCCAATGGGGTTGTGGGGGATAAATCCATGTTTTTCTTCCCTCTGCATGGATTTTCCCCCAAATGGAAATGAGGCGGCTGTCAAAAAGAAGGAAGCACGGGCTTCTTCAACAGCTGAGGAAGGAACAGGACCAGAGGACTCGCCCATCCCGCCAGGTTCCCTCAGGTCTCTGCGCCTCCCAGAAACAGGGGGTCAAAGGAGGGTCCCTCCCTTTCCCGGGATCCTCCAGGGAAGGGCCAGGGACCGCACTGGACCTCGTTCTGGCCGCCGCTTCTCTCTTGCTCTCCGTCGCAGGAACCAGGCAGGACAGCGGGTACTTGTGCAACCTCTTCCAGCACCTTTGGTGCCTGAAGCGCATGGGGGCAGCCAATCTTGGCTGGCCTGAGCACCAGCCCTCCTTCGCCTGCAGCTCCAGGGCAGATGATCCCGGCACGGCCCCCACTCGCCCACCAGAGAAAGGCAAAGCCCCAGGAGAGGCGGGATGGTCAGTTGAGTTGGATTTGCAGAACTGAGGCAGGGAAGAAGATCATGAGATGTGGAGCCACAGACTCCCCCCTTTCCTCCCACCCCACAGCTTACCTCCTTGGGTAGGACCAAGGAGCGCGTGGGATGAGTGGAGTTTGTGGCCAACTTCAAAGTGAATGGGGCTGTTTGTGACTAAATGGG